CTGGCTGAATCCAGCACAGACAGTATTCTTATAAAGTATATGATTAAGTCCTATGGATTTCTCTACTTACTTTGATGTTTTTGTATGAGTTCTTGAAATACTGTATTTTTAATTTCCCCATATATATGTTAGAATTAATATAGAACAAATTTAAACTTTTTGATGTAATTAATCTTCCACATACCTGTTGTTGCAATGGCCATGTAAATTTCCTACAGGTTTATTTAAAATTAAAAACTTGTTAAAACTTTAATAAATGGATACTGAAGACTGACCTGCAGTGACAGAAACATGAAGGAAATTATCTGAAATACTCTGTTCACAGGTTATACAGTTTAATCAGGTTCTCTGGTTGGGTTTTATTTTCAGATTGCCTGGGCTTTGAATAAAGGTGTGAAAACAGAATACAAGCAATTCTGGGATGTGGATCTGGGAGTTTCATATATTCCTTGGGAGAAAGTAAAATTGGATGATTTGGAGGGCTTTGCTGAAGGTGGCATGATTGACCAGGAGACAGTAAACACAGGTGATTCTCCTAGTAAGAAAATGTGTTTATTTTGGTAATTGCAAATCCTAAGAAGGTTTATTGGTTTATGTAATAAATATTCTTTTGTAATTTACATAAATTTTACTAGCTACTTGCTAACAGTATAAATTACACTGTAATAATGAAATACAGATGGTCTTTGTAGATGAGAGATTAATTGATTGTCATGACGAGGAATTAGTGACAAAGGGGAATTACTTTAAGCAAGTTAATAAAGGTTAGCAGTTTTTTTAAAAACTGTTATGAATTTGCTGCATGTACTCACTTCTGAATTTGTAAAATACTAATTTGTATAGAAACTGATCTGCTGCTGATTGTGAAGAGCCTTATATTCAGGTATAAGGCTTAAACTGGAGTTGGAACTTGTCCAAATAGTCACAGCTTAGCTGAAGCTTGTGGTATTTCCTCCATAAAGTCAAAGAGACAGGAAAGCAGGTAATGTAAGACCTTACTCTGAAACCCAGTTAATTGAGAGGTTTGTTAGATTTGTGAAAGATTCATGAGTACTGTGTTTTCCTGAAATGGATATAGCACCAAATAGCTGGACTACACTGAGTTAAGCGGAAGACTAAGACTGTTTTATACTAGCAACAGTAGTTTTTCAGGTCAAATTGCAGTCTTGCTTTGAGTAAAAACTGAATATAAATGACAGTAAAATTAAAACATGAAACATTACCAAAATACATTCATTATGTTGTGCTTGAACTGCAAAACTTTGAGGAAGTGGCAGAAAGAAGAAATGGGGTGTGGGGTGGGGTTTGTTTAACAGGAGGATTCTCTGTCATTGGGCAATAGGCAGCTGATGACACAGATGGACTGACAACAGATTTTAGAAAACTGGAGCACGCCCTGTGTTACGAATTATTAACAGAATGACTGGCAAAAAAACTCTGCAAGGTTTCAAAAAGCAGCTTGTAAACGGGCATAATTAAACAGGGTATTACAGGTGATTCAAGATATTTTATATTCTTTAAAATATATAATAATAAATAATTGCATTTGTTTCTTTTCATCAGAAGTTTGGGGGTTATTGGTAACCGGTCTATATAGACACCAGATTAATATTTCTAGTTTGAGAAGGAAGAGGACTTGTATTGAAACAAAAGTAGCACATTAGTTTTGTATTAATACAATTTCTATTAACAATACACTTTATTTTTTAAAGAATGGGAAACAGCCAGAAGCTCAGAAGCTGCTAAAGAAAATACTCAAACGACGCAGAGTGCTCCAGTTGATAAGAGTACAGTTATTACAACGCAGACAGAAGCTTACACGCAACCAGTCACTATGCTGCAGGTTAGTCGTGGTCTGAGTTTGCAAAAACTCCGCAGAACCAGAAGGCAAACTTTTTATTCAATACAGATAAGTTTTAGTGCTGAGTTAAAGTACTTAAATCAGACATACTTATGTCCTGTGTCCATGTGTCTTTCTCTCTGAAATATTTTAGAGTAGAATCAGTTGTCATGGTTAAGCAAAATCCTTAGTTTGATGCACAACATATCCCAAACTTGTGTACAATCTCAAATGAAGGCTTAAAGGTTGAAATGCAGAGCAAATGCAAATTTTAAAAAACTATAGATATAGATATATTAAAAAGTATACTGGCACATTAGTTTTTTAAGGAGAAATTAAAATTAATTTACAGAAAGTATTTTGCTTATAGAGCAAAGCAAACTTCTGTGAGCTAAACAATGCAGTAAGGTTTTTTCATTAGTTGTGCTTGTTTCTTCTCTGCCTATGTGCTTTTCCCCATGTCAGCTTTGAATAGAAGTTCAATTATTTTGTCAGTAATCTTGGGCAGGATTTCGTAGGTGCAGTCTCATCTTTAAAAGATATGATCACTCCAGATACTGTGCTGTTGGACTCCATATGCATTAATCATTGAGATTCTTTGATTCCTTGCTGTATTTTTTTTCCTTCTGCTAAAAAAGATAACTTTTATTAACCTCCAGTCAGTAACAAGGTATTGTGGAAGGCTAGAAGGAATACAGTGTAATTATTCTTGAATATACTACACTGTATGTATTTATCAGGTATAAATACAAAGGCTTTTTGTCAAACTCTTTAAATCCTTTTTAATGACCATATGAAATTGTAAAATGAGAAGCAGTTGCTTAATACAAAATTTTTTGTATTCGTATTAGTACTGGTTTATATTTTTGTAACACATATAGTTACTTCCAATACTTTAACTGACATAAAGTAGCCATGAAAGTTAACATATTTTCAATTTACTAGCATTGAATTTTGAGGGTTTTTTCCCTCAGAAATTGTGTTTGGTCATCTTATTTCAACTGTCTCCTAGTGTACACTGTGATCAGTATATACTTGAATGTACATATATTATAACATACATATATGTTATAATTATGCTGCGCTGTATCAAAACATGTCACTCAAACAGAAGTTTGAGAAATATTAAGTAATTTCCAAGATTTCCTCTGGATCATTTGTCTTATAATTACATTCACTAAACTCAACTTTGCAGTTATAGTGTTTATCCATGTATTTTTCTGGGGTTTTTTAGAATAAAGAAAAGACTGCACAGGATTCTTTCAGTGTCCTTGTTTGCGCGTAGTGTAGGTGCCATTGCAGAACGCAGTCTAATTCTTCAGAGTGTTCAGAATATATAAAAAACCCTTGATGTGTTTAGTGCTTGACATGAATTGCAGTCAGATCAGTTTATCCCTCTTTTAATGTCATTGAATACTGTTAAGTATTGAAATTGCTTGTTTTTTTCTTTCCATGAAAAAAGATTCCAGTAGCTCCAGCTGTGCCAGCTGTTAGCTTGGTTCCACCTGCGTTTCCTGTCACAATGTCTGTCCCTCCTCCTGGTTATAGCGCAATTCCTCCTCCACCCTTCTTGCGAGCGAGTTTCAACCCTTCACAGCCACCTCCAGGTAAGTTAGTAAAAATGAACTTAGGTATGTAATGAGTATACCAGTTTGTGTGCTTCTGTGTACATCATGCTTTGTGCAATCACCACCATGCTATTGGTAATCGTTTGAGCCACTCGACCTTTGAATCGCTAATCTAGTATGAAACTTCTTATGCCTAACTTAAGATTTTATTTTTACCAGTGTATTCTGTTGAGAAGAGGAATTACAATAGAATTTTTTTTGAACTTCAACAAAAAGGAAAATTTAAAAATCCTTAGGATTAATCTCCTTTCTTTGGAAAACCTTGAAACTCTTAAGTACCTTCTTTGGCCATCACTGACATAAATTACTTTTAAAGATGCATGTGCAGGTCACCTACAGTAAAGATGGGGTTGGTTTTGAAAACAGGAACCACTGTTGCCTCTTCCCATACATTTGTTGTTTACTAGTCTTCAGTGATGCAGCTTTTCAGGATGAATAATGTAGGCAAGCTTTTACTGCAAAACTTTATTTGCTTCCCTTACAGTAATTAGTCATTTTTCCTGTACAGGTTATATGCCTCCCCCAGTTCCACCTGTGGTCCCGCCACCTGTTGTCCCACCACCTGTTGTCCCACCAGTTGTTCCAACACGTAAGTCTGATTCTTCGAAGTTGTTTCTGTGTTATGAAAAGCTGAAGTGTTTGCTACACTAGTTGTTATTTAATCAAAAGCAAGTTAATCCTGCGTAATGGAAAACAGTAACACGGAAGTTACTGTTTAGCTGGTTTAAGCCAATACTGAGAAAAATATTTACAAAGCTTTTCAAGTTGACTGGAAAATGATACTTAGTATGGAGTAATTAAAAAAAAAATATGGCAAATTAATTATTGATTACTTGTATGCACAGTTTAATGTTTTGACCTGGCTGTAACAGATGTATCTGTTACTCAAGCTGCTTGGTGTTAAGTGCTGAATAATTTGTAATATTTTGTCTTGCTTAGCCTTTTAAACATATTCATTTAACATTTAAAAATACCTCTTAAAGAGTACTAATTGCTTAGGTTGCCTGCAGTTCATGGTCTCTACAAAATAATTAAACATTACAGTGCTGATTAAGGATAAGAAATTATTATCAAAAGCACAATACTTAGGGCAATTAATTTAACGTATTTTGGTATATCAGCCTGACCTCTGCCCAACTAATCTTGAAGGATTGAATATATGATTACTGTGATACACTTCTGTTATTTCTCTGCAGCTTTAGTACAGCCTCCGTTACCAATTGCACAAGAGACGATGAAGGATGTTCCTTTTACTAGCCTTGTTCTACCAGTTGGCACAGTTACTAGCAATCTTGCTACTCCAACATTATCTGCTGGAAGCATTTTTAATCCTCTGCCAATCAACAAACCAGAATCAGATGAAAAGGGATCACATCTTTCAGACCTTCACATTTCTTCCAGTGAAAGTAATAGATCTGGTAAGAAATGTCGTTATTCTCTGATATGATCATATAGAGGGAACATCATGCTTCTGAGATTTTCTTTCAGATTGTAGTCCATTGCAGTGGTAACTATAGAGCTGGAAGTTTTAGGCTGGGTATTGTTTTCAATTTAAGTTGGAGCAGTGATGTTTTCGCTGTCATCTGATCATTGATTTTTAGCAGCTTATGCTTGGGGATGTTTTCTTTGTAGACTCAAGGTACAGCTGAGACTGGGAGCCCTTTAGAAAACTTCTTAAGAGTGCATTCTTTGTAGCAATGGAAAGGAGCGGGACAGGGTGTAGGCTAGTATGACATTTCAAGAATTACAGTGATTTTAATATGGCCCTTGCATAAATTGGGTGGTGGCTGTAGGGTTTGTCAGTTTTAAGCTGCTGTACATTCTTCATTATGTAGAGACAGTGATTTTTGTGAGTTAATATCTGTTTATCACCAATGTGATTAAAATGGTGTATGGTCATTGTAGAGACTGAGACAGGCCTTGTAAGCAGTATCATCACTGAACACATGAACTGAATTTGGCTTAAGCTGTGTTTTGTTTTGAATGCTCTGTGTTACCCTGGCATTTTCTGTTAACTGTTATTCTTGTTGCTGCATTTTAGTGCAAAGTGATGTCTCGAGTAGCTCTGGACTTGGAGGAGTGCAGCCACCCAGCGTCTCGAGCAGTTCTGGGCTTACTGGAGAAGGGCAACCACCCAGTGTCTCAAGTAGCTCTGGACTTGCAGGGGGAGCACAGCCACCCAGCGTTTCAAGCAGCTCTGCGCTTGGAGGAGGAGTGCAACCACCAACTGTTTCAAGCAGTTCTGGTCTTGCAGGAGGCATGCAGCTACCCACTGTCTCCAGTAGCTCTTCTCTTGCTGGCGGAGTTCAGCCACCCAGCGTCTCGAGTAGCTCTGGACTTATGGCTGGAGTGCAACCACCAAATGTCTCAAGTAGCTCAGGACTTCTAGCTGGAGTGCATCCACCCAATGTCTCAAGCAGCTCTGGCCTTCTGACAGGAATGCAGCCACCCAGTGTCTCAAGCAGCTCAGGAGTTCTGGCAGGAGTACAGCCACCGAGTGTCTCAAGCAACTCTGGGCTTCTCATAATGCCACCACCCAGCGTTTCAAGTAGTTCTGGACTTATGGGAGTGCCACCACCAAATATTTCAAGTAGTTCTGGACTTCTGGCGATGCAGCATCCAGCTGGGGTTCAAAACATGCCTCATTTAAATATTAGTACTCAGAGGATGCCGGGAATGCCTCTCATAGATATCCGTCCAGGCCTAATGCCCCATTCGCCTGGACCAATAGGAATGCCACCACAGCGTAGTATTCCTCCTCCAGCAATCCTTGATCCATCTCTTCACCCACCACCTCGAGGTCCTTTTCCTCCAGGAGATATTTTTAATCAAACAGAAAGACCTTTTGCACCGCCAGGAAGACAAAATATTGATAGCATTTCTAATCCAGAGAAAAGACTACCACTTGGAGGTGATAACATCCAGCAGGAAGGAGACAGAGATTACCGCTTTCCTCCAGTGGAAAACCGGGATAATCTTAACAGACCATCTCCAGTGGATGTGAGAGATCCTGCTGGACGACCACCAGTTGATCCGAGAGAGGCTATAGGAAGGCCTCCCGTAGATGGAAGAGAACACTTCGCAAGGCCACATGTAGACATGAGAGAAAATTTTGGAAGACCAGGCATAGAAAACCTTGGTCGAAGAGAGCATTTTGGTTTCAATTCAGACAAGCACTGGGGACAGAGAGGAGATTATGATGAAAGAGAGCACCATGCCTTCCCTATTTATGGTGGCCCTAAAGGTTTCCATGAAGACAGAGAGAGGTTTCGGCATGTAAACTATAGGTTTGATAATAGAAGTGGTCCCAATTGGAATAGAGGATTTGAACAAGATGCCCACAGAGATTTTGATGACCGCAGAAGACCCTGGGAAAGACAGAGGGATAGAGATGACAGAGATTTTAATTTTTGCAGAGAAGTAAATGGGAGCAGGTTTGGAAGAGACAGAATGTCAAACAACTGGATCCCCCCTCCACATCCACGGGTTTTTGAATATTTTGATGGGGCCACTTCCCAACGCAAAGCCGATAATATGCCCCAGGTAAATGGTGAAAATACAGAGACAGAAAGTCAGCCACCAACTGCACAGGTGCAGGACGATCCAGAACTTTATGAAAAACTGACATCTTCCGTCGAGATAAGCAAAGAGAAGAGTGACACAGAAGCTGATATAGAAAGTGAACCAGTGGTAGAAAGCACAGAAACTGAGGGGACATAATCATCACTCAGTAGGTAAAAGATACCTTTTGTAAAGTTGTCATCTCTCTGTAATAGATAAATGGCTGACTGGACCTTAGCAGTTCACTTTTGTCTGCCAGAATTAAGTTAATCTGATGTTCATCTTTCACTTAAATAACTGTACAACTGACTTGTATAGAACACTGTTCTTAATTTTAACATGGTAGGTAACCTTTTTTTTTTTTTCCCCCTCTGGTAAAGCATAAACTTGCCCCCACTTGCTTTTAATTTCACAAAGATAAAATAACAGCTTGTCAAACAAAGACTTCCTATGGAAGAAAATGGAATTTTTTAGATACTACCCTTAGGTTGGCTCTCGAAATTGTTATACTTGAAAACAGGTGCTGGTGTATCTTGTCCATGTTTTTAGGCTGCTGCAGAATTTTAAGGTATAGACAAAGCTGTGATATTTTATGTTCCTACAATTCGGCAGAAAAAGAAATGGCCCATGTTATTTCAGGAGCATAACACAGAGATTAAAAGTGATTTTGTAAAATCTACACTATAGTCTCTGTTTTCTCTAAAGTAAGTGTTTGTGATTTGTTCCTCGTACTGCAGTGGGTTCAAAACAATGAAAAAGTACATTTTAATGTTGGGTGCATTTTGTTTTTAGATGCCAATAAAGCATATTTGTTTGATAACAGTGTTCTAGGTATTGTATTTTTTTAAAAAACTCTAAAAACTTGGAATCAGCTATGATATGTGCTTAGCTAGTTGTTGCAGAAGGTTTATATTACTTTTGTAAGACCAATGCAACAGTTATATGTGCAAGAAGCGTATGGTTTTTACATCAAAACTCATGCAGTCATATTAGTTTATGTAAATACCACATGTATGTAAATGTCTGTGTAAACTGTTTGTAGGTACCGCTCTTTCTGTGCGTGCCTGTGTATGTGCACACACTCACAGAACACGGTAGGCAGTTCAATAAAACGGAAATGAAACTAGGTTGTAAAAACTTGCCTTTCACCTTCTCGAGGCAGTAAGATCACACAACTTACGTCGCTGCAGGACTGTCAACCTTACACTTACCTTTTGATGCTCATCGTTGTGATGTTCTTACTACTTCTAGAAGGTGGAACATGATATACTGTAAGAGTAGGGGTTTATATACGGTAGGATTTTAGCTTACTTTTTAAAATGCAGATATGCATGAAGCCAAAACCTAAGCAAATGTTTTCGCTGTCTTATTTTGTAATATATTTGGTATTCTGGGTAGATAGTGGTAGTGTTCAAGTACTTTGTAGTTACTTGGTTTTAGTGACTCGAAGTTCAGGAATGTTGCACGAAACGTAAAAAACTGTTAAAGCCTATGTGTTTTTAACAGAAGTAAGGGGGGCTTTGTGTTTTGATGGCTTTAATACTGAAGTAGAACCTCTTTTTAAATCGTTGAGATGAATTGGCTGTTTAGGTAAATTAGTAGTGCAAGTCCTTCCTGTTTCACCTACTCTGCTGCTTGTGTATCCTTTCAAATGGTGGCGAAAGATTTGGTTATAGGGTAATGTCAGACTTTGAATTTGTTCCACTCAAGTGCATTTCACCTACTTCTTTCAACATACCTTTTGTTGAAACTCTGCGTCTGAAAGCATCCGTTCACTGAGATTTCAGAAAGTTGCTTTTCTCTTGCATAACAGGATCCAGGGGCAGATGCCCCCGTGGCAGAAGAAACATTTTTAGCTCAGATTAGAATTTTGATCTCTAATATCAGAGTGTTAACATGTTAAGTTTTAATTCCCTTTCCGCTTCCTCCCAGAAGATGAAAGTATGAGAACGTGTCACGTCAGTGTGAAGCATAAGCATGCCTTTGAGCATAGAAGCAAGTGCATGTGTGTGTTGCCCTCTCCCTCTGGGAGGTGGGGTGTTTTTTTCATGCTGTGTCATGGTTCAGCTTTTCAATTACAGGGACTTCTATTCCGGATAGAAAGCAAACTGTCAGCTTGATGAAGGTAGTCCTTTGAAAGAGGGGACTTGGATAATTCTTTATCTACTGTGCAAATAGTAGTCATTAGGATGTAGCGAGGTATGCATTAAATAACTGTTGCGCTGTAGTAGACGATGCCAATGTGTTTACCTAAACGTGTCTCAGGAGTTGAGATGAACAATGCTTAAGGTAAAAGTAACTTCATGAACAGACTCTAGCTCAAAGAACTTGACGGATGTTGCTGCATCACCTACCCGTATTGTAGTCAGGCAGATATAGTTGTATGGAAGTCCAAATGCACAAAATGCTATAAGGGTACTTTATGAACTTAAGGGGTTTTCTTTATTTCATTTTAATATGTGCAGTTTGAAAAGGCATCAGTCACAAACCGCATAAATACTCAGAGTCAAACACATATTGGCAGTAGCTTTTCTTTTCAAACGTTTTGTTAAGTGTCTCTTTAAAACTGAAAGTTAAGCTGTGTTTCTTTTTATAAACTGGGGCTGGCAGGATGCTCATAGTATGATGCTTTAGGTAAATTACTGAGTGAGAGCTGTCAAAAAATTTGATTGGTAGTGGTATAAAACAATGTATTATTTAATGATTTTTCATCTTTTGTTAATATCTTTCAAGCATTAATAAATTGGCTACTGTACATATGTGTTATACCATCAATTTCTAACAGCTATTTTACTTTTGTAGAATAAAAGTTTGTTTTACAGTCTTCAGTTGCATCATGTTTACAGCTAGAACTGTTGCATTTCTTACTTTATTAATGTAGTGTGCAGACAAATGTTACCTAAATAGCATGTTCAGAAACTCAGAAAGGACTTAATATTGCCAAAACAGTATGGTTTCTTTATCTTGCCAGTAGGAATTTTTAAATCTTTCAGAGTTTGGGTTCTCCCACTGTAGATTAAGTCGTCGTAAGCCAACGCGTGCACTGAAAGAAGCTGTCCTGAGATCAAGATCAGTTCTTTGATGTGGTTCACGATAGTGACATAATTTTTGCTGATGCAAAGGAAAGATTGAGAGTGGGGCAGAAAGAAGACAATGGCCAGGCACCTGGGCAGCAGGTCTGGCTTATGTCTGTTCACAGCTTTCTCTAGTGATAAAAGGTGTCGATTCTAGCAACTGAAGAAGCTGACCTACTATTTACATAAGTAACGTACATATTGAAAAATACGTCAGGTATCTTTCAGGCAATGCAGTATGTTTAGGCATGCGCATTTACTTGAAAACCATGTGCGTTAGTAAGTTGCTTGTATTTATTACCTTTTTAAACAACCTGCGATTCTGATCTGTCACAGTACTGTAATTGAGCAGAATGCTACATCCATAAAGATTACAAAGATGAAACAGCCTTCATTTGCTATGAGGACATGATTTCTTTGCTGAAGCCTTCTTCTCTGAAATATTGGTACACTTATGTTTTTATGTGTAGTGCTTCACGTTGCTACTACCAGCGCAAGGGAATAGACTCTTTCAGATTCCTTTGCTTCAGTAGAGTATTATACCATAACTTCAAGCCATTTCAGTGATTTAAATGGCTTTATTTATGAAATTAAGGTACTCTTACCCTGAATAAGGCAAGAATAAGCAATAACATAATCAAGCCTGTAATGTGGTATGCACAGACATTACTTAAGCACAGTTGGAAAGTTATCAACTAAACTGTCTGTAGAAGGTACATATAAAATAAGCCAATTTATCACAGAATTCTTTCAAAATACTGTGTCAGCAGTTTTGAACACGTGCAAGTATACATTGTGCTGGTCAACACTTAAAGTACTCATTTTCTTGATTCATGTTCCACTAAACCAAATCTTTGGGTCACTTGATCTGAAACTGAATCCCAAATGTCATTCTTTGTCTTTTCAGTAATATATTGTAAAATAACATAATCATAAGGGTGACTTTTGTCTCTTGACAATGGGCGCTGAACTGATACAACTTTAAAACCTACTCAGAGTATCAGGAGTCATCAAGAGTAAATAGGACATTTTTTTTTTGTTATTGTTAATTCAGGTAATCATAGAATGGTCTGGGCTGGAAGGGACCTTAAAGACCATCCAGTTTCAACCCCCCTGCCATGGGCAGGGACACCTTCCACTAGACCAGGTTGCTCAAAGCCTCATCCAGCCTGGCCTTGAACACTTCCAGGGATGGGGCATCCACAGCTTCTCTGAGCAACCTGTTCCAGTGCATCACCACCCTCTCCGGGAAGAACTTCTTCCTGATATCCAATCTAAACCTCCCCACTTTCAATTTTAGCCTGTTACCCCTTGTCCTGTCACCACAGGCCCTTGTAACAAGCCCTTTGTTGACAGCTATGGCTGATTCTGTGAATTTTACATTAGTCACATTTTCAAGTGCTGAGCTTTCACAAGTAAGCATGTGCTGTGAAGCCATCTATTTGTGCAGATGAGAAATTGATTTAAACAGCATAAAAGCAGGATATTATTTTCTTGATTTGAAGCTGCTTATTTGAACAAGAATGGCAAAAGCATCTTTCTGCCATGTTGTTTTACTGTATTCATTCACATCAGCAGAAACTTTGCAGTGGCAAAGAGAATATCATATTGCTGGAGTTTCTTAATTGTAATTAGGCTTACGTTTTCTTCTGGAAGGGTCATCTTAGAGGTGTTTTTTGGGGACTCAATAAACATTTTGAATTATATTAATATATATTGATGATGTTTCATAGCCAAGAAAAGCTGGGTAGAACTACTAAAAAGAAACATCCTGACATCTCTGAGCAATAACTTCCAGCAGAGGTGTACCGGACCTGAAAAGTGATTCTTGTCAGTGATAGGATGGTATGAAAGTCTGTTAATAGCATTTTTGTTGAAGTTCGTAAGCGGCAAAATCGTATTTGCTGTAATTATATTTCTTTCTTTCTTGTACAAACTTGATGAAAAAAGGTAGTCTTCTTGATTATCCTACAGTTAGTTATCTTTTAGATGCTCTGCTACCGAAGATTAGAGTAAGGGAAAGACTAGTGGTCTGTGCACTCTTAAAAATCAAGAGGTTGTTAAGATATGTTGTGCAGTTGAAGGAATTTTTCCTTTTAAAGAAGTTTAAAATGCACAGGTCTGGGCTTGCATAGTAACAGTGATATTAATGGTGTCACTGGTTTACTCATGTTATTTTGTACTTCGTCATTTTTATTTTGGTGTTAGCTCACTAATTAATGCTAATTTTAAGTTTTCTCCTCTTCCTATCAGATGAAGTCATACTAATGCCCTTGGACAAGGGACTCTTCTTTACAAAAAACCAAAACAAACAAACAAACAAAAAAAAGAAAAAAGTGGTCAGAGTATTTCAGCTTGTGGGTAGATCAGTCCAACGTTTTTTCTTTTCTGATTTAATGCTTTCATGCTGCAGTTTTCCTCTTCGTTAAACCAGGTGTTTCTTCACATTAGCATGTGTCAGCTTTCTGTTGAAGTGAGGAGAAACTGTGAGATTTCTTTAAGGTAGATGATGACTCCTTGTGTTTCTAAAACCAGGGTACACTTCACAGCCCTGTCGATTTGTATACTGGAGCTTTGTAATTGTGTTGGAGTGTTACAATTGTGTGCAAGCCAGTGCAAAAAGTCGTTAATAGGTGAGCAGTGTTAAATGGCTATAGAATAGTTAACTCAGAGGTAGATTGGTAGGATTCACATAGGCCGTAGATGTAGGGACTTTGGATGTGAGTGTCACTTCCACACT